CATTTAATATTTCCTTTAGCCGAAAAGACGACTATCAAGTTGAAATTCAAATGAAATAACTATGAACAAAAATTTACGGAAATTTAATTTAATACTTTGAAAAAATAAGCGTAGAAGATTGATTTTAAAAGTACAGTAAAACTTTTACTAGTGAACACCGCCTAATTATGGTCGTTCTTGGATCTGACGGATTTTAACTTCTTTCTACTGTATACCACCTGTCTCTCATGTTTACTATGACTAGGTACACTTTATTTATGAATTCGCTATTGTATATGTGAAGAAAACAATGACATCATGACACAAAAACATTGAATGATTTTTGAAAAAAAAAATCTTGTGCTGTATTTGAAAAATCTTTCAATTCAAATCATTTAGACGAAGATAGAAGAATAAGAGAATAAATCTTTAGGTTCTTTATCTAAGACTACTGTAGATGTAGATATCCTGAAAGCTTTTCTTGATTTCACAACAAACTATTCATTCATCGACTCTCTAAACTGAAACCTCATCGTATAATGAACGTTTTTTCATAGTTCTTATGAGTGTTTACAATAGAGAGGTTTTACTATAAAAAAATATATAGAAATGATGTGTATAATTTTCGATTGCGCTGGGTGAGAAAATTCATTTTCATCTTATATTCTTTTCTAATAAATTTCTTGACTCAACTCAATCCACAAATATAGATATCATTTCTATATTTTTTTTTCGTGATAAAATGTTTCTCTCAATCCAACCTAGGCGATTATATTCCTTTAATAGAATGTATAAAAAATGAATTTTAGCCATACATCATCAATATTTAATCTAGACACTTACAGTAGTAATTTTTAACTTATATCATCCATTATATAATAATATACAGAAATCTGACTTTCCTGTGCATGTGTTTCAAATGGGACAAAAAACCACTCGCAGTTTGAAATGGAACCGATCGTCTATTTTCTAACCGCCATTCTACTGATGGAACAGAGATATCTATGACGACATCAGTGCCGCGATAGATTTAGATTTCCGTCTTGTCGCAGTAGCCTTGTCCCTTCTAGGATCGCGTCGCGGCAGATTTCTAGCCGTGATAGACATCTCCGTGTCGGAATACCGACGGTAGCGTGAACCCGAGATTCGCAAGGCAATCTTGTACTCTTTGCCATTCTGAGTTTAGTACTTATTGGAAGAACACTGAAGAAACGAATTATCTCTGGCGAAACACGTTCACAAAACACGAAAGAAGTGTGCAATGTGTAAGCAATGGCGTAGGGCACCGCGAGTCTCTCGTACGAACATAGATGGAAATTGAAATTTACTATGTTCTATCTAATGAAGGAAAAGAACACGAAGATTTTAAAATTATTTTTGAAGTAGCTGAAATTGACAGTTTTCTCCTTTTGAAATCATTATGATCTTAATAATAGTATATACGACGAGAAGTTCTGACAAACTGTTATGAAATTTTTATTTTAATGTTTTGTAACTTACTTTCGTTGCCAAATGGGTTTACTTTCATTCATTAATTCCCAATTCCAAACAGTTTTATTAACAGTTTCAGTTTTCTTTTTCTTTTCTTCTTCTTTATCATCTTCAACAGCAACATCTTCATCTGTTTTCTTATCAGTTTCAGCTGATTTTTTTGCTTCAGTAGTACCTTAAAATAATCAAGCTTGAAACATTTTCAAACACAAACAGAAAAAACAACAACAATAATCTTACCATCATCATCATCAGATACTTCTTCTCTAACAGTTTTTGAATGCCATAAATAAATATTAAAATTAATAAATTGTGAATATCTACGAATAATTTCATCGAGTGTTGATGATTCTAAATATTCACCAGCTTCTTCTTTTATACGAAGACTAAAAAAGAAAAACCAAACAAAATTAAACTAATGGATACTATCATATTTAATTATTTTTTACCTAACTGTTGTTCCACGACCAAGTGTATTACCACGTGGATCTTTAAATACATTAAATGAAGTTGAATCTGATTCCCAAATATATTGATCATCAGCATTATGTTTTGATGTAACAATAACTTTATCAGCAACAAGAAAGCATGAATAAAATCCAACACCAAATTGTCCAATAAGATCACTCATTGATGTACTACCATCTTGTTGTGCTTTTTGAGCTTTATTAAAAAATTCTGATGTATCTGATTTAGCAATTGTACCAAGAAATTGAACAAGTTCAGTTTGTGTCATACCAATGCCAGTATCTGTTATATGTAACATTCGATTTTCTTTATCGGCTTTAATACGTATTATTAATTCTTCTTTATCACCAAGTGCATTCTTATCCGTAAGAGATAGAAAACGTATTTTATCAAGTGCATCGGATGCATTTGATATAAGTTCACGTAAAAAGATTTCTTTATTTTTATATAACGAATTAATAATTAATTTCATCATACGATTAACTTCTGTTTGAAATTGATGTTTTTCAGATGCATCAACTAATGTACGAAATTCTTTAGCACTTAGACCATCTAATTTTATTGCTTCTTCTTCTCTATTAAATAAATAAGAAATAAATTTTAAAAAAAAACTGAATGAAGAAATTCTTTTTTCTTTTTAATATCATTACTTTTGAACAACTTCATCATCTGTTTTTGATCCATCTGTATGTTTTCCAATATCATCATCAACTTTTGGTGGAATTGGTGTTGATGTATCAATTTCATCTTCAGCTTGACAAATATCTAAAGAAAGTGATCGTGGATAAAATATTTTAAATGAAAAAAAAAGTTGAATCTTACTTGCAAAAAGTAATGCTCCAAGGAGAGCAGTGAATAGAAGCCACTTCAACATGGCAAAATTTTTTCTTTGTTCAAGAAGAGAAAAAACTAACAAGTGACGATTGATTAATTAAATGAAGAAATGAAATTCTTTTAACGTTGTCGTGCTTAATATGTACAACTGTTTAACAGGCGAAGACCAACACTTAATGTTCTGTTTACATTTGAATGATTGATTTAAATAACCAATCAGTTATCGACGTGTAGTGCCATACCTGCAATGCCATGCAAACATCAGCATATTTTTATGTATGAGAAGATGGCGTTGATTATGGCACAAAAAAATAGAAATTTTTATTGTAAGAAATGAATATTTGGTTTTTCTTTTGTCTCGTTAATGCATTTATTGAATAGAATAAATGTCTAAAGAATACCTTTGAGGCTCATTGCGATAGAATGTTACATAGAGATGGCTGATTTCTCTTTTTCTAGAAAAAAAAACGAATAT